TCTCTCTCTCTCTCTCTCTCTCTCTCTCTCTCTCTCTCTCTCTCTCTCTCTCTCTCTCTCTCTCTCTCTCTCAAGTGTTTTGGAAGAGAAAAAAGAAAAAACAAAACGAAATGGATTCTTTTGTTTTGCGGTTATATATGATTTAACATGCAATCGTTTAATCCATACAAAATCATTGGAAGATTTGAATTAGTTGCAAAAAAAAAAACAATTAAAAAAACGAGCCCAGACAACGGTACGCTTCTGTGTTTCACAGTAATTACATGCTGCCTAAATTGATCTTACTTTCATAGTTGGACACACTCTCAACAAACGAGCGCTACTGTTCATACAAACCATTTTTTCTGCTTCTAAATCGGCCAATTCGATTGTTGCATCTTAATCAGAAACAAAACACGTCGAACACAAACCGTAAACTGCACCAATTTCGTTCGATTCGTAAATTATTCTCTGGCCGTTCTTGTTCGAGCACACACAAATTTTGTTAATTGAACACAAGCGCACATAAAAATGGTGCACTTTATGAAACGCAACGGCACAATTTCATTAATAACCAAGAATTGAATTGAAATGGCTGGGTTTTGAGTTAGAAACATTCATAAATCACACAACTGGGAATTCGCTAAACGAATTGAGATGTAACATTATTTGGAATATGTACACTTTACAGTGTTTATTGTACACGTGAGCAACAGAAGTGCATGATGAATGGTTTTAGAAAATTTCTCGAACGGAATAACCAGCGAATTCTGATATGTGCTGTTTCTTTTATTTTCGTTGTTGTCTGTAATTGCGTCGTTTTTGCAACACCAAACGGAAATAGATCTGAAAGCATTTTCAGTTTGGTATAAAGAGGCGTGCGTTCAACGCACGATGAATCATTCCATCGTTGTTACATAATGAAGCATGCGAGAAGTTATTCAAGAAATGGTTTTCATGACGATGCATTTGCCATTATAATGATATTCATATTATAGCCCACATGCGTCTTTCTATTTTCGTTAAATGGCTGGATGATTTTCAAAAAAAAAAATGCTAAACACTTTCTCATCAAAATGAACCGCAAAGAACTCTTAAGGTGAAAGTTTTTTTTTCTGTGATAAATATTTCTGTTTTTGTATGGATCATGTCGTTAATTTCATAAGATCTCGTAACCTCATCATCGCGCATCAGGTCGGCTAATCGCAGCATATGATCATATCGAAGAGGAACTATGCGTTGACAAGAATTATACCAAGAAGAAGAAAATAATGGACACAACATTTCACAACGATAAAAGATTATGGCTCTAATTGGGCTTATCGTTTTGGATTTCATTCGGAATGGAAGACAAAATCCAAAATCAACAAGAAAAAGGCAATGGCATGTGTGCGCATTTGAATTTTTAGAACCAGTTTCGAATGCATTTTGTTTCTCACACTTGATAATTCTTAGCCGTCGCCCATCCGTTTCAGAGCGTCGCCCATTCATTTGTTTTAAAATGCTTTTTTGTGCATCGTTTCCATTTTTTTCCAGAAAAAAAAGAACCAAAAAAGAAAACCAAATCAATAAATTCAAATTCTCGATATGGACGCGAAAAGCGAACGGGTAAGCAAGCAATAGACAGTTGTTCGAATTCACCGCAAACGCCGATAGTTAAATGAGAGAAATGCTATTTAGGTCAGGGCTATATCCATTGGTCATATTCTTCATTCCGAATCATTCTCTTCTTCGTTGTCATCGTCTTTCTTTCGCGCGCCAGTTTCGAGTTTCATTTCGTTTGCTTTGTTATTGTCATGTATGTGTTTTTTTTTCACCTTCTTTTATTCGTCGTTGAAGCACAACTCGCACGGATTGACACAATGGCACACTCACCGTATACCAACAAATAATTTGGTTGAAATGATATGTTTCGCAGAAGACGTGCGCATGTATGTGCATACATATCGCAACTATTAACAGTCTGAATCCGTATCATTATCGTGTCGTTCATGCAATGGCCAATCATTTAAAAACTGAAAATGAATACATAATTTATACCAAAAACACACACATATTTCCCTCCGCAATTATCGAAAATCTAAAATCGGAAATTCACTTTCTATTTTTAGATAAAATTCTGAATTTTTGAATATTTTATTGCCTCATTCATTCAATCAAGTTCGATGTCATAATTTGTGTATCACGTGTTTTACTTCGCTTCGCTTCTTCTCTTCTTTTTTTTTATCGAATAAACGATTTCCCTAATGAGTTGGTTCGTGCGTCATCGCCTCTGCATTGCGTAACACCGATGCAGGTCTGCGGTAATATTTCGGCTCACTTGTTTCAATCACGGAGTAGTCGATTTGTCGACATGTTCAACCCGAGTCGACTTTCTCTCGAAGCACACACATCACACATGTCACATCTCCTTGTTCGTGGTACAATGGCACGATGTTCATTTGCTCTTGGCATTTTCATGCGGCGCACATACCATAATGCACTCTGATTCATCGGCATTTTTTGTACTTGGAATCAATCAAGTGAAATTCAAGATAGGCATCTAATAGACATTAATTTAGGCACATCTTCCATGAGTTAAATGTGTCAGTTTGTAAATTGAATATCAAAATCATGCACCGATGAACATAAAACCAAAAAAAAACAACAACCAGCCAAACCCAAGAAACCACAATAATACACTTGAACACGAAGAATCGTTAGAATAATCGCGTTGAAAGGCACACAAAATCGGTACAATGAAGTGTTGAGATGAAGATTAAAAAAAACGAAAGTTTCTGCATCAGTTTAAGCCATCAAACACCATTTTGACTCGCTCAATTGTTGACTCTTCCGTTTAACACAGAAAAGCGTCGAATTGTCATGTCGCCAGACAAAACTAAACGTGTAAAACATTCGACGCAGACACTAGTCGATTTCAATGAGTGAGACAACAATTGTTTTCTTCGAAAAACAATTATCGACTGCTTTCGGAGAAAATGTGCAACAATTGAAATCATAAAGTACAATTTCTCAAAGACTTATGAATAAATGCCGTGTTCAAGTGTTTCACTTTTCACAGGCCAGGTCATTCAGTTCAATTCCGCTTACAGTTTTAGGGCTTATAAAGCGCGTGTGATTGGCGACGCATTTTACTTTAAACAAAAAAAGCGAATCGACAACCGACATCTACATTTTGTTTACCTTCTTATTTGTATTTTTACGACTAATAGCTTGAAATCAGGTAGTCTCTTTCTCTCGCAGAAGTGAATGAGTGGAAGAAAACCGAATCGCGTAATAGAAATCCAGACGACGACGACGACGACGACAATAATGAGTGTGTGGCTTTGCGCATTGTGCGTTGATAGTTACTGAAATCGGCGAGTGAATAATGTAACAGCGGTAAATTCATGAAATAAAAGAAAAGAAAAGCTATACTTGCGAATACACACCTTAGAGCGAACCGGATATGTGTATAAATGCGTCAAAATCCGCGATTGATTGCAAAACAATTTTCTTTGCGGTGTGTGTCTGGCATCTGTTGTGTGCGCGAACATGATCCGCGTTCAATTTACGTGTGCTAGTCAATTTGCTATGCTAAAAAAAAAACGGTTTCTATTTGACAATAATAACAATCATATCTCACATAGACCTCTGAAATTATGTTACATTTGCATTTCGTTTGGTAAATGACGCGCGGCCTTTAAATGC